ATCTCTAACTGCGACACATGCCTGGCGTATAAACATCCAAACCATTCACCCTACGGACCAATGGGCAAACCAAAAATTTGCTCTAGGCCCTTCCAGACTATATCGCTTGATCTTATGGGTCCATTACCCATGACTAGAAATCGTAATCAATACATCTTAGTTATTAACTGCTTTTTTACTAAATATACTTTAATCTTTCCCCTTAAGCGTGCTACCACGCCTAATATAATCTCTTCTCTCGAGAACTCGGTTTTTCTGACACATGGTGTCCCTCAGACCATTATTATGGACAACGGACCCCAATTCCAGTCTCGTGGATTCATTTCCTTCTTAAAAAAATATAAAATTCCTTTTATATTTCATTCTCCATTCTATTGTCCTCAAGTAAACCCTACTGAAAGGTACAACAGAACAATTATTACTGCTTTAGCTGCCCTCGTAGGTGATGACCATAGGACGTGGGATAATCACCTCCCTAAAATCCAACAGGCGTTGAACAGTTGTGTGAACTCCATAACTGGTTATACGCCTAACTTTTTGGTATTTGGTCGTGAAAGAATTCCCTGCGGCTCTTTTTATACCTCAGCTCGAAGTATCGAAGAAGTTACCTTTCTACCTCGCGATATTTACTCTGAAAATGCTGGATTCCTCTCATCTATTTTCGACAAAGTTCAAACTACCTTATACCTTGCTCACGCTAAAAACAGTGCACGCTATAACCTACGTCGCTCATTCAAAGAATTTAATGTCGGCGATATGGTTTGGCGAAAGAACTATGTGCAAAGTAATGCAGGTTCTTACTTTAGCGCTAAGCTCGCGCCTAAATTTCTTAAATGTAAAGTTGTTAAGAAAATCTCACCTTTAGTGTATATATTAGAAGATACCAATGGCTCTAAAGCTAAATGGCATATCAAAGACATTAAAATCTAAAACTCATACCTCGTTCACCGCATTAATTCATTCTTAACCATTCATTCATTTATCACTCAAATCATAATCTCTAAATTTAATATTTTTTTTGTTTACCCTAAAGCTCTTAAGCTCTCTCAACGTCTATAAAAGACGTTAACCTTTAAAATTTACCTCTATTTTTCTATAGAGTACTTTTCTCCAGTGCTCTACCTTACTTAACCTCTTTAAAGGCAACTAAAGCCTTTACTTTAACCTTTACCTAAGACTACCCTAATGGTCTTCTCTACCTTAACCCTACATTCTTAAGTACTAAATGATACTTCTTTCCGAGCGGCTGACTACTCGTTAAAGAAGCCTTAGGTCCGAGCGGCTGACAACTCGTTAAACAAGCCTTAGGTCGGAGCGGTTAATTACTCCTAAAAGAAGCCTAGGTCAATATTTTTTTTTCCACTTATGGAGCGGTTGACAACTCCCTAAATAAGCCTGTCGTTATTAAGGAACACCTTTCTAGAGTGGCAGTCATTGATCGTGAACTCCACCCTTACCTGTATGAAGTTGAGGTATGATAGAAGAGGAATGTGTATTTGTATGAATGGTTGTATGTTTCTGCGAAGTAGTGTTCCTCGGATCTCTTTTGGCCTTTTCTTTAAGCAAAATTTTCTCTAGTCGAAAATTTTCTGGGGTCGTGGGGGAAAATGTAACGTACCTTAATATGGTTTCGACTCATGGTTTCGATTATCATAGGTTCCATTTCGCACATTTTATCATATAACATCATCGATATTCATCAGGCATCATCATATATTTTATCATTTATTCCTGGAAACACATAATTTCAAAAATATCACACACTATTCATCACTTTGTAAATACGTATAATAATTTCTTCTGTACTGAAAATCACTATTCCAGAGTGCTGGACACTTACCGGCATTTCTCTTTATTCTGTTATTTACTTGTTTTCACTTATTATGCTTTGATTTTATCTATATTTAATTTATTTATTTTATTGACATTTTATGACAACCTAATGTTTTTTATCCGTTGCCATGGCTACCCATGACACGGATACTCTCTCCAACTCCGTCTATGACTATTCAACCTCCACAGACCACTTACTTTGATTCTTTTTGGCTCGATTCGAACCGTGTCTAAATTCAAATGGTTCCGGACCTATAAAAGGCCGAGCCTCCCTGATCATTTATTCAATTCTACGGCAAAAGTTGCCTACTCAACTTTTGAAAGCTCGCTACCGAGCTCTAAATTAATAAAAGGCCTTGTCCCGGGGCCGACTGCCCCGGGACTCAAGAAAGACCTCAAAGCTTTTTAGCACCTATTGGCTCTTTAAACAACTTCCTAACTCCAATACTATACTACTATACACGTTCTCGCAACCTCATCGGTGGGACTGCGCCTGGTCTCCAGCTTCTTCGGCCAGCCTCCAGCTGCTTCAGCCCGCCTTCTACCGACTCCTGCCGTTTCTTCAACGCCCGCCTCTGGCCGATATACGCCGGCCAAACTACCAGCAGCGCCGCCAGCAACCACCAGGGGAGGCCAAGATCTAAGACGGCTGCACAGGAGCGCTTCTGCCTCCAAGGAGCGCCGTCCATCTACCTGTAGCACGACCTACCGTTCAAGCCGCCCCTGAAGATCGCCGACGACCCACGCCCTACCGTTCAAGCCGCCCCTGAAGATCGCCGACGACCCACGCCCACTTCACAACTCACACTACACACATATTCCATATTTTTTTTTTAATAATCTGTAAATAGTACTTTATCTTGTAAATATATATTCCTATACTGTTCTTTTGATTTTCTTTTTCTTCCTTCCTATCTAGTTTTATTTTGTTGCTACACAACAAGTCCACCCTTTTATTATGAATGCGAAATTAATTTATTTCATAAATATTTCTTGGTACGTTAGTCGCCGTACTTAGTACGGCAGCGGCGCAATTTTGTAAAAGGGCTCTTAACGGCGGACTCAAGTCCTCCGCGGACAAAAGTTCCACTTGCAGCAATATTTCTAAATCTCAATTTAACTTAAACTAGATTTAGCCCATACAACAATGTCAAATTGGCAGTGTCATGTTGACATTTTTCTATGGGTTCAATATAGTTGTAGTTGAATCGAGATTTAGTTTAAATTTTATTTAAACTAAATCATTTTATTTTTTTATTTTAAATTTTAAATTTACAAAATTGCTACAATGAGTCTGAATCATGAAAAAATAAACTATCGCCGAGGACTTGTCACGATCTCAACGCACATGGTATGCGAATATAGGTTACCCGAAAATTTAGGGAAGCGCACGCTGTGACAGCAAATCTTCTGAAATTACGTTGTGTTGTATTGTAATTAACATGGAGTTAAAGAAAAATAGAAGACGTTTTAAACGAAAATACTGGGTCCATCCCCTCAAATAGGACCGCATGCGCAACGCGGGCTAGAGTTCCCGCCGTGTGCATTGCTGCGTCTACTCACATGAGTAAAATTTTTTTTGGGGCCACTCCCGTACTTTTGTCCAACAAACTCAAACTTAAAGTCATTTATTCAGTCTAGGCAGTTACAAGCACTTGTGAAGGTCAAGAAGCTACGCCATCGGTTCGCAAAACCACGGTGGGAGACCTTGTACTGAGAAGAAACGGCTAGAAACTCAGCAAGGACGGTTTTTTTCTCCCTGTATTATTACAGAGTCGTCAAGTTGAAAAATGACTTCAGAGATACTTCTGAAATCACCTTCCATTACATCATTTAGAATGATAAAAATAATTATCTTTATTTAGACCAGCATATTTAAGTAACATTACGTCTTATAAACTATAGACACCATATAAAAGACTACCTACTACCTTTACAAAAAGTTACAGTTTCGTACCTTCCATTCTCGATATGGACCAGGTGTTTGCAGATCAATACGTCCGATATTGGCGACGCAAAAACATAAGACAGTGGCATTTACAGGTAGTTTCCGCCACCAAGCGACTAAATGTTGGAATGATTTACCTCCTCCTATAAGACACGTAATATCAAGGTACACTTTCAAAAAGCAAATTAAATTAGCCTTACTGAATTTGCAAACTTTAGGCATACGCACTAATTGTCGTTTTGGTGGAGGTTCTTCTGTAAGCATTCAATCTTCTTGACATTCAAATTAAAATTTATATTTTATATTATTACTTACACATTTATTTAATATTGTCTACACAATTTTGTTTTTAATGATTAATTACATACATTTATTTATTATTATTTAGAAAATTTTATTAACAAATATTGCTAGGTAAATTAATAATGAAGTAAATGATGTTCGTGTATTGTGTTTGTGTGGCACTAGGGAATTACAATGCCAGCTTTGCAGCGTACCTACATCCTCGCGCTTCCTACGGGCAGTTGCTGAAAATCAGCATTTTGTCTATTAAGGCAAAAACACTGCTGAGCTTCTGCCTATTTGCATCACTGTCACTCACTAATGATTGTAGTTCATACTAGTTATTTAAGAACTGTTAAACTTTTAATCATTTATATCTGCTTATTATTAATTGTACTAATTTGTGATGCAAATAAATGAATTTATTATTATTATTATTAAAAGACAATCCCCAGTCCCCAAACCCGGTGACGCTGTAAAGGTCATCTGCGACCAACAGCATACACACTAAAAAAACAGTTGCAAGCGATCTATATCAAAAAAGTCCCTCGTCTAAGCAGACCATTGCCATGATAATACTGTTTTAAATGCCATGTTTCATTCATTCATGTACTGGACGAGCGATGAAGATTTTTTTTATTGGGGAACGCACCACCAATGGATACAATACTTTTGAACCCATACAATACTTTTGATGCATCCCTTACTAATATTATAAACTGAAAGTTTGTATGGATGTGTGGATTTTTGTTACTAAAACAGCTGATCGTATTTGGATGAAATTTGGCAAAAATATAGTTTATTACATAGACACATAGGATACTTTTTATCACGAATATTGTTGAAGTTCCTGTGGCATTTTCAAAAAACTAACTATAACGCGGACGCAGTCACGGGCGGCAGCTAGTACTAAATACACGTATTCCTTTGTCCACAGTGAGACGTGTGGCGCCACAGTTCTCTATCCCGCCGACCCCACGCACTGAAGTCCCACTGGGTGGCAACGTGACCCTCAAATGTGTGGCTTTTGGGTCTCCCATGCCCACTGTTAAATGGAGAAAAGGTGAGAACAATTTCTGAATATGTTAAATATATGCTGCAAATTTTATTTGGTATGCCAACTTTAATTTCATAAATCGTATGTTATATTGATCAGTTTATCTCATTTCAATATTTATAATGCTCTTCTTTGTATTCATATTTCATGTAATTACCTTTGTCCAATCTTTTAACACATATGTGTATATAAAACCTTTATTTATGAAACTTAATGTTCCTAAGTAGGAGTTCTATGCTATTTTTTTTAATAATTATGTGTTCAATATTTAAGTCTGTCATTTGTTTACATATTGAAAAAAATTGGTTGATATACTTTTTATTTACTTATTTGTGTGCGCGCACGCGCTGTAGTTTTATGAAATTTTTGAAAAATGCGTGTCATCAAGTTATTCCCACGTGTTAACTTTCATCTCATCTGCGCTTGAATGTTCAGTATAGTTCAATATTAATTTCAGTAAAAAATAAGTTGTAGAAATATGAGTTGACACATAGATCTATTTTTCTTCCTTTCCCAGTGTAGCTTAGATCAAAACCGATTCTTCTTGTGTAAAATCCGGCATGATATTATAAAGAAGACGAATAAACGTGCACTGATATATCATCTTAAAAATTATTTAGTAAGTAAAGATGAAACACATATTTCCGTACGTGTCGCAATCACCACGTTCAGATTTCGTTGTATGCGATTATAATTATGAAAATCTTGCACACTTCCATCAGCACCGTACGCGCCGCATTTCATAAAGTCTACACGCACATACGGCGCGTACGGTGCGTACATACGTGCGATCATCTTTTATAAGGATAACTCCATGTTCATCCAAAAAGTAGAACTTAAAGTTGTCCTTGCTCAAATAGGTGATTTATTATTGCCTATAAAATATACATACGAGTGTTAACCCCAGGCCTAACGAAGTGGCTGACGCCGGAAGACAACCCACCGCTGGGCCTGAACACGCTCAAACTGGAAGACATAAGGGAATCGGCGAACTACACCTGCGAGGCGGCCAGCGTGCTCGGCGTCATAGAGGCTATTGCGGAGGTCAAAGTGCAGTGTAAGTACATAACTCATTATCACCAGCGTATTAATGTCCCCACTGCTGTGGACATTACGAGACACGAGGCGGAGCAGATTATCCTACTCCACCTGATGTTGAAGAGTAAAAGTCGCGTCCGTTGTGAGGATAGATGAAAAGTGGGCTGCCTCAGCCATCCTAGCAACGATATTAAATAACCTAGATACACTATGTGCGCTCAAAATGTGTACTAATCAAGAAGTGCTTGAACACCACTGAAGCACTTTTTGGTTCAAAGTCATCCGCGGACCGTTGAAAAGTCAAGATGCCGCAGAGCTCCGTAAAAAATCGAATAAAATACTTGTAGTACGTAAAGAGTGGTTCTTATAGGTATCTAATAAATGTTTGTTAATTTAACGCATTTGAAGCAAATTATGTTCTAATACTTACTATAAACTAATTTAATAGAAAGTATTTGTGATATTTAAATGCATGGTCGGTAATATAGCCGTCTCTTTTCCTCGCGGTCCGTACTTGCTGTATTGCTCGTAGTGAATTCAGAATTGCGCGAAGAGTCAAAGAAATAAGGTCTATATTATTCGCATATGCATAGCAATAAGTCGTAAAATTTTACGAGCTTTCTTTTTGAACTGTCATAACTCTTTGACGCATGCGTTTTAATTAAGACCTTATATAGTATGCATTAAAGGTGACTTACAGTGTTTAAAAAATGCTTTATATTGTTTTTGATCATGTTACGGATCTCCATGGATCGTCCAATGTACCTTTTGGACAGGTTTCAGCCACGATTTTGTTCATGTTGTTGTATCTAGGGTATTTATATTGTTACATCCCAGCCTCAACCTTTCCAGATTAGATCTCATCACCATCAGCAGCCTATTAATGTCCCCACTGCTGTTCACAGGCCTTCCCTAGGATGAAATAGGGAGATTGGGCTGTGATCCACAACGCTGGCATTACAAAGCATGGAGGAGTTCGAGATAATAAGTTTTTAGTCACCCATCCAATGACAGACCATTGCGAAAGTTTCGTAACTGCCACGATCTCAGGCCGAACGCTGTAACCACCTGCGCTATCTTTCTCCTCAAGTACATAAATACATAGACATAATATAGCCTCATTTTTAATATATAAATGGCCCTCCAATAACTACTTAACGGCCGTGGGTAAGCAGCTGCCATATATAGACGCTTCGGATGTTGCAGTATCACTCGCGTTCCCTACGGGCGCTTGCTAACGAGACAATTTTCCGCCGGGTCTGGGGACGGTTGTAAACCGTGTCTAGGTCCGGTCGTCAATTAAGTATGGGACACTGTGGAGGTTGTTAAGACGCCGGTGCTAGCAACTATTTGGGGTCGGTACAAATGTAAAAGAAAGTGGCCGCTTGCTATAGGTCTCATAAGAAGGCTCAAGGTCGCACAGCGGGCAATGGAGAGAGCGATGCTTGGTATTTTCCTGCGTAATAGAATCAGAAATAAGGAAATACGCAGGAGAACTAAAGTAACCGACATCGCTCGGAGGATTACTCAGCTGAAGTTGAGATGGCTATTAGGGCGGAAAAGTTCTCCAATGGCGGCCACGCAGCAGACGATGCTCGGTGGAAAGGCTAATCACCAGGTGGACCGACGATCTGGTGAAGATTGTGGGAAGCCGATGGATGCACGTGGCATAGGACATATCGATGTGATGATCCTTGGGGGAGACCTATGCTCGGCTGAGATGATGATGACAAATGTACAAACCGTCAAGCTAGTTCACGAGAAGCTTCTATCTACTATCAAACTAACGTTAAAGCATTGCCTAATGGCAGGTTAATCCTATATATTTATAAACAAAGAGAGGTGATTAATAAAAACAAAAAGTCGAAATAAATTCCAACATTTTTAAGTCTAAATTTCTAATTTAATCAGGCGCTGCCGGACGCCGCTATTTTGCTGCGGGACATAAATACCTAATAAATTGTTTCACAAAATCGTTAACCACGACCGCATTTTAGCATTTTCTAATTTATCCATTAGCTTTGCAGATAGGGCTGCTTTTTGGACATCAACTAAATGAGTATACTTACTTGTGATACTAACAAAAGTATGTGAGACTTTCCTTTAATCGTTTCCCGGACAAATTAAAAACGTGGACAAATTGAAAGACAACAAATTCAGGCAGTTTTCCGCCCGGCGAGGAAGCAACTAACTATCGGCTATTTTCTCGCTCAAGAAACAATAGATATACATACCGTGTAAACAAACGAGATGCATGTTGCAGCGAGTTCTCGCGTATTCGATCGAGTATTCGAGTATTCGCAGCTTTCCCCTCTGCCGATTTTCCCCCGCTGTTGGTCCAGCTCACGAACAAAACTAGTTACGCTCGGAGATTGTACTAGACTGAGTCAAGTCGCGCGAGTATATGTTAGGGATCTAAAATGTTTTGTTATTTGCTGTAAAACATATCTTGGACATAAAATTTTCAAAAGGATGGTGTTAAAATTCACATTTAAGTAGAATTATTAACATATCATTTCTATTTAACCACTTTTAAACACAAAATTCATATTATTTTTTTAAGTCCAATCGTTGGACTTGTTTGACAAAACAAAAACTTGTTAGTACATATTTTGGATCCGTCAATCAAAAAATCTGAATTGCAGAATTTGGCGGTGTATTGTGTCATTTTCGATGTGTGAGTGTCGTAAATACAATTTCTTTTTTTGCGAATGTATGTTAAACTGCATGTGTGTATATTCCTCCCCCCCGAAAAGTGGTAGAATGATTTCAGTAGTATTATGTCAATATGACTACTCCCCTCCTAACCGGCTGTGTTGCTCTATGGCAGTTAGCAATCAACTATTAATGTATACATCTCTTTTGTTAACAAATATTGTATCTATTGTTTAAACGTTTCATGAGGGAGAAAAGAGCCGACAATTAGTCGCTCCCTTAACGGCTGTTGGACAACTGCCTGAAGTTCTAGTCTTTCAATTTGTCCGAAGAAGCCCGAACGGGTAGCAACCCTATCACTAGCTGAATATCCGCGGAGTCGGTTGTTCGTGCCCGAAGTTGAGTCGAGTCGAGTCGCAACGAGCGAGACGAGTGACTGAATCAAATTACACTCATAATTTCTTCGGATAACTGTTGCAAATTTATGGTAATAACTCCGGCGAGGTGGAATGAGGGATTTACGAAAATCAATTTGATAAATTGCGGCAAGTCGAGACATCCATTATGAATTAGTGTTATAATTCATAATTGAAAGGGTTGGAAAGTTGCACAACCCCAGGAGACAAACGAATGTCAGCTTGATTAATGATTAATTATTGTTTCCTTTGCATTCCCTTTTCTCGATCCGATTCGTTGGGGATTAAGTTAACTGGGCACGTCTAGTGTTCGGTAACATAGCTGTTTAAAATTGATGAGCCAATAGAATTTCTAATTGAAACATTAATAAAGATTAAATCGCGATGTCCGGTACAAATATTTGACATTCATAATGAACGTTGTAGGATATTTTGGAAATTTTCGATGTGATTTTTTAATATTGTAGGTAGAAAGTTAGTACCTTGAAATTTTCATGAAAATTCTCAATCTAAAAATATTTTTACACCACACTTTTTCTGTAAATTATTTCACTAAAAATAGATACAAAAGTTTGACTAATGCCCAATTTCATTTCATCGTTTCATCATCTTCATCATCATCCATCATCATATTATTATCAGCGGTACGACAACCGCTTCTGAGCAAAGGCCTCACCCAAGGATCTCCCATACCGATTGGCCCTGCGCCACTCGCATCCATCGTCTTCCCGCGACCTTCACAAGACCGGTCATCATCTTATCGGGCCGATACAAGATGTTTCTTTACGCCTATTTAAAATTCCCGTGTTTTAGGAAGTAACACATTTTTAATAGACCTTATTTTGTGTAGCATTACCTGGTCCTCCATCGGAAGTGAGAGCATCGGAAATAACAGCAACCACTGTGCGCCTCGCGTGGACTTACAGCGGACCAGAAGAACCTCAATACTACGTCATTCAATACAAGCCCAAGTATGCCAATCAGGTAAGAATAAACATCAAAAGCAACGCAGACAAATTGAGTTTGACTATGTAACTACACTCGTCAAAAGAGTCTGAGTTACGTGCATTATTTACGTTAACTTCAAGTTTTAACTTTTTTTCGCAATTTAAAAAATAATACATTGTGTGGCTAATAAGTTGTAAAAACGATAGAATTGAAACGGGTGGCCGGGGTACTAGCTTTTCTGCCACCTAATGTGTTTTCAAAATATGGCACGCTCTGTTTTCATACAAGTTGAATCGCATGCGTCGTGTGCTTTAAATCTAGGTCTCTGATTTTATCATTTTTTTTTCTCTGAATCCTGATCGGTATGAACGTTAAGGTACAATTCCGAGACGAGTGACAGCACAGAATACAGTTCTTTGGGCGACAGGCTGCAATCGCAGGCGACACTGCGGCTAACGACAGTGTCGCCTGCGGTCGTGGTTGCTTTTCCAAATTCCAAGCAAGCGACATGCTGCGATTGAACAATGCATAGCACCATTCACCCGCGGCTGCAGGTACCGCGTCGCAGCTGCAGGCCGCAGTGTCGCCGCGTACAGAATCAATTTCATAGAGATTCAAGGCAACAAGTGGTGTCGCTGCAGATTGCGGTTGCGGTTTGCGGTCTGCAGCCCGTCTCGGAATGGCACCTCAAAACAAAATTTTGCCCCAACAGGCTTTCAGCGAGATTTCGGGAGTGATCACCCAGTACTACTCAGTGACCAACCTGTCACCGTACACCGAGTACGAGATGTACGTTATAGCGGTCAACAACATAGGACGCGGCCCGCCGTCCGCTCCGGCGGTCATCACCACTGGCGAAACTGGTACGTATCGTGTTGGAATAACGTTTATTTTTAAAATTTCAAGAATGGCTCCTCGGGTGATTGGGCCAGGTTAGGCAACAGTGCAAGTGATATTTTTTGTATCGCAAGCGTCTATAGGCTATGGTGGCCGCTTACCAACAGGCGGGCCATACGCTTGTTTGACACCTTTGCACATAAAAAGTCTTTAAGTTTAAGATTAACAATAATATAACTAAAGAAAACCACACCAAATCTTGTAAGCGCAAGCGGAGAAAGATATCGTTCTATTTTCATATTACATTCAAATATCGCTAACGCGTCAACTAAGTACTAAAGGAGATTGCTCAGCTTCCATACATGTTTGGCCTAAAGACCAATAATCATGAAAAATTGTTTCCTAGATTAGGAATTATATATAAATTACTGTAGAAACGAATATTATTGACGGACACCCCTGAGAACTTCTATAAACCATATACACTGAACATATTAAAATAATAAAAAACAAATAAGTTATATAGTAAACTAGGGAAATCAAGCCAAGTACAGAAATTATGGATTAGATTCAGGTATATAAAGCTTGTAGATTAACAGATTGTTGCCTGTTTTTAAAGTCAATGCATAAGAGTAACTTTTAAAATCAGGTGTCATTTCCGGTTATAATAAGGTACTCTGTGACAGAAACTGTGTGATGATTGTGAATGAGCCACAGATTAGAGAAAATTTTTAAACTCTCGTTAACCAAAGAAAGCTAAGAGATTTAGGTTCTATAGCCATATATTCAGTAGCTTCATTATTTTTTTATGTTTTTAAGATAACTATATTTTAGATTTTTAGTGTATCACACCTTATAATTTTATTTATTTTTTTATTTATAGTCAGGGAACGTAGGCCCATAGATTATCTATCTATGGGCCTACGTTCCCCTTAAAGTCTAACATATATACAGATTATAATGTGTTTATGGAGGTGTTTGGCGAAAAATGTATTTCAATAGACTTTATGATGTCGCTTACCATCTATAATAATTGTCTGAGCACATTTGCATCTAGTGAAAATGATAATATAGTTGTGGATATTAATACCACAGTGTAATAAAAAAAATGATTTATTTTATCGATCTTTACAAAATACATTTGTTTTTATTTTATATAAACAACTTCGATCAGTCTTTGGCTGAATGTTACTACACCCATAGCCATTAAAAATGATTTGTATGTTTTCCAAACCGGTAAAATTAAAAGTTTTTTTAAAGTAAATATATTATACAAAGGTGTCCGTTGAAATCTAATGACTGTAAATTAAATTATAAATTACGCCAAGAATTACCGTGTATGTCAATATTTTTTGTGCATTTAGGCCAATTTGAGCAATCTCCTTTAAGTTTACTTTAAGTGTTTGTTATTTAAATGTTGTTAGATTGAAACTCCTATGTATAGGTAGGTATATTAAATAAACATTTTCCAATCCTTAAATTTATAATTAGACATAAAATAAACCAAAAATAATGCAAAAACAAGCCTATGTTATTACGTAATTCATTGTCGTCCTAAGTACTAATAGGTCAATAAATCCATTAAGTGTACGATTTCTCAACATTTTGTTAGCAATTGTTAACAAACATCGTGCGGGTAAAAATTCAGGACAAAAAAAATATTTTGGAACTTTTTCTATTAAAGAGTAACCATTAAGGACATGCGCTGCGTGCTCCCGCTTAAGGGAGCGCAGGCCCTTAAATGGGAACATCTGTATAATACGCAGAATAGTTAATACATACTATATACACACTATACTGTATTATTAAATCATTAATTTACGCACATTATACGTACGCACTTGACAAAAAAATCGAAATCAATTTGAAAGAATAGCCCGTAAATTACCCAACATTTGTCCATGGGTCAGAAGGGTAAGAACTTTAATTGCCATCACGTGCCTTCTGAAACAGAAACGAACTTTTAATAATTTATTGGTCACCCGCCTCACACCTGGTCACCTGCCCAGGCTAAATTTTTCTTTTTTGGTGTGTATGCGTTTGGTCGCATAAGACCTTACCGTTTACAGCGTCATCAAGCTTGGGGCGGCGATATTCTTAACGGACCTACCTCAAGATGGGATATAGCGAATGACTCTGGAGCAGATTTTTGAGCTCATTTTCAGCCCTCGAATTGCTGAAATCTGACCGCGACCATTAAACGCAAATAAAAGGTGCTCACCAAGAAGTAACATTATTTCACATATTTCGACGATAACCACACCGCTGTCGAACCTGGTACCTACCTATACTTCGCAACCTCGGGGGCATATTTGCTGCTGAGCTGCAGGGGGCATTCGCTACTGACATATATTTTGATTTGATTTAAAAACTTGGCCCGCCGTAGTTTCTGATAGTAAATATTAGCCGATAAGGAAAAGCTTTGCCCATCCCTGCTCTAGAGATTTTCTAGGCGGCGGAGGCAATCTCTTCGCAGGGAGAGAGCTTCACGGTAGTAGCAAGGCCACTCGAACTAGAGGATCTCTCAAAGACTTTTTCTTACCCTCCAATGCAATACTTACAGTTATTGAATTATTAATATCACAACATATTTTTTTATTTCCATACACAGAAGTATATGATAAACAATCAAACCAATACAGAAGTTTCTATCCCAAAAACAACAAAACAAAAACTATTTCCCTGTGCTCCAATACAAAATGTGGAGCATCAAAGTCGTCGTCCACATCCAAATCAACAATCAAAGCTTAAAACTTTAACACTTAATAATAATTATTATGGTACGAACGAAATTAAATTTCGGAACACGGCTCCCTGTTTGTATAATTAAAGGACAAAGAACAAACTTTTAAACAACAATTCATATCATACGCTTATTTGATTTCATTTTAATTCTCTTGCTTTCCGTTTTGTGTATATATATATATATATATCATCGTCATTAGATTTACTGCTTTGGAAACGGTACATAATTTTATTTTTGGTTCGTTACGCTAATTTCTAAGTTTTAAGGTATTTCCTTTAATCGTTTTTTCATGCCTACGCATTAATGCGACGTACGACGCTCGCCGCCGCTTCATGTAAGTTCCGCATTTGAGTGGGTTTTATTTGTTCGTGTTAAGTTTCGTTTGCACACTATTTTTTCAACTTTATTAGACTATAGACATAGAGCAATAATTTATTTTTCATGCACCATTTCGTTTCTAACGTTAGGTTAATACGGTTAGTAAGGTCTCACCGTTATTCCTTTAATATGCACCTTTTACCATTCTCTGTTTTGTTGACTATTACTTCGATTCAACTAATGCTGTTTTTTGTCTATGCTCCCTTGCAGTGGATTCACTTTATGGAGGTGCCAGTGAGTATAATATTATTATGAGTGGTGTTTTATTGACTTCGCTGAGTTGTATTTTGTTAAAAATTAGAAAAAAAGCATGTTCTTTTATGAAAAACTCCCGCTGAAAGTATCCAATTTCCTGCTTCGACGTAATACGTACGACGTAACCTTTTTTACTTACCTTGACACTTCCTGCGAGACGGTTATATTAATTTGACTCTAAAATGTTGGTATACTTTACAAAATTGGCTTTTGCGTATAATCTAATATATTTTCTCTCTCTTTTGTGTTTCTTTCTTGTCACATTGCGGTGGGCTGCTATCATTTCTAATTTGGAGGCAACAATATTAAATTTGACATCTGAAACCTTACCTTATTCCATCGTCACAGCGCGATACCAACAGACGAAGATGGCACAGTGATGACTCGGTAATGAAAACGTCGCTGTATCAAAATTACTCGCAGGTTTTTTTACATCTACTTACATTTTCTAATAAAGGGAACTTGGGACCCACGCCCGGCGACCCGAATCCAAACGAGATTATAGCGTTTTAATATTGCAGTCCCAAAAAAGTTATATTGTTTCGTCCTTTCCGAGTATTATAAACAGTTGAAGAGATTTTATATAGAGAGACGCCCCTTTTCCGTGTTAGGGGCAACGATTACAAATCCTATTAAGACTGCTATTATGCCTCCGACAGTTATTGTCACATTTTTATTTCCATTTTATACGTAATTGAGAAGAACCGAGCCTCTCCTTAATTTCATACTGTGTTGTTTTCGTATTATTCCGTTTATCATAATGGCATTTGGAATATTAGGTGTTTAACTGAAAAGATTCGCGAGAGACTTTCGTTTATTATTTGTTTTGAAGTTTTTAGCCCGGTCGGCTTTGATAATGGAATTTCCACAGTCAAAGGTCCACTGAAAGCTTCTTCAACGATATTGAGCCTGTACCTAATGATTTTTATAAGTTCAACAAAGGTCTGGTTTAAAAAGCATTTTCATTCATTATTCAAGGAAATCTTTTCAAATCACAGCGCTTCACCAATACTTTGTAGAGCTCAAAGGTTCATATTAATCTATGAACAGGCAGGTATTATTGTTTGCGAAACTCTAGAAATTTAACAGTATCACGAAATCTATTAAATATAAGTCGTTTCTTGAAAAGAACTTTATATCTTTAAAGTTATTGATATCTTTTGAGTCATTTGCAGACGGTCTAGCAACAGATTACTCGTATTTAAGTACTCAAACAATATTTAACGATCAGTTTAATTCCACTCCTCTTTAAGTAACAAAGTTATAGTAATGTAGATTTTTTTATTAATACAGGTTCATTACGATGATCATTAATTGTAATAGGTCAAATAATTTAGACCATTCAATATGCTTATTGAGCCTTCCTTAATTCATTATCTAAAAGAAATTATTTGTAACTATCCCTGAAACTGGTGCCTTGCAATTAGACTATCTTTTCACATAGGTGACAATTAAAATTGAATCATAATTAAAAAGTAGAGGATCATGAGACTAAATTATTATGGTATGTAATTTTAAGGAAGCTGTTAGAATAACTTTGCTTGAATAGCCGCAACAATTTCAATGAAACATCCTTAAAACTCACTAGGAATACGCGACACTCTTTTTAATATATTTATCAGAATCCTAAATATGTGCAATTAGCGATTTAAGCAATGCATTAACATATTACATAGTCCCCCTTAGCAAAAAAAATCCTGGCACTGTTTTTTTTTATAAGTATAGTATCCGCTGAAATAAAAGAAATGATACTAAGAGCCCATAGGGATTTAGACAAGTTTGTCTCAAAACAAATAACATATCTAAAATTATATCTATTTAGCCGGAGTAATGCAAAAGGGTGTAGTCTAACTATTCATTATTGGTTTTCCAATGTTTTTTTGTTTTTTTCATACTAGAGGGAATTCTTATTTATTTTGCCATCTCCTATAAGTATATGTACCTAATAGTATATTGAAAACAATAGTGGCATGAAGTGTACGGCATGATAAGAAATTCATTTTTCATAAATAAAACTAGTTTTTACGGGTTAATGCACGAAACTTTATTTATTTATTGACGTTTAAACCTAAGAAACAAATTCATTTTTCCATTAAAATATAGTTAGTTATTTCTGGTTGTTGGTAGAATGCTAATATAACTCGTCAAGGATCCTCTATTGCTGATGAGTTTTGTCATTAGGTACTTTCGGGATTTGCTTGGTTTTCGTCAATTATTTGTGCTGCTTATTTATATCAATATAGAGCAAAATCAATATTATTTTCTTCCCGGGCTTTTTTTTGTTTTCTTCTACAAAATACCAATCTAGGATTTTAGCTTCCTACTTCATAATAAAATTAAAATGTGATGTTATTTTGACTTATACTCCTTTTGTAGTAAGATTTTACTCACTTATGTTATGATGTTACACTGCTACTGAAAATTTAAGCCAGTCAAATAATTAAAAAAACTAGACGTTTCGAATTTTTTTGCTCTTGAAGTCGCTGCTATATGTGTAATATAAGATAAGCCTGCTCAATATCGTTTTGTATTTTCCCCTAGAACCCGGGTCAGCTCCTCGAAACGTACAAGTGCGACCCCTAAGCTCGAGCACTATGGTCATACAATGGGATGAACCAGAAACACCGAACGGACAAGTCACGGTAAATCACAATTTCTAGTTATTAGTGATTTCTTAGTTTGCAATTCACCATAAAAAAATCTCCTTATAGATATATCCAAATTTCTTGCTGACGTGATGTTTTTTTAACTCGTTTCATTATTATAGGGGTATAAAATCTACTACACGACAGACCCGTCGCAACCTCTTCAGTCATGGCAGTCGCAAATGGTAAGTTTTATTTTTATGACACACAATACATAACACATTTCAATTTGCTAGTCGTGTAAATCGCCCATCTCTTATTTATCTTTACTCCACCGCCACTTAACATCAGATGAGGTGTAGTAAATACACCTCAAGTCAAGCCTAATTATTAAAAAAATATATGATAGAATGTCATCTCAACAGGGCTGCTGGCAAAACGGTTTTCACTTTCCATCGAACGAACTATTAAGAACTTGAGACAACAGTTACAGTTGAAGAATTCTTAAAGAATTATTGCTGGATGGGTAACCAACCAAACCAAACATCCAGCAATATTTTTTTAAGAATTCTTCAAGTCTAGCTGAGACTTGACTTATCGGACGACAATATCAGGATAGGTACCCTTTTTGAGTGTTAATGCTGTTGGTCGCAGATGACCTTTACAGCGTCACTGGGTTTGGGGACGGCGAGATCCTAAGGGGACCTCAAGCCGAGAATTGGCGAGTGCCTCTAGAGGTATTTCAGGCGGATGGCATCTCCCCGCGGCGGAAGTCTCCTCTCCGTCTGGAGCCTCTAGACCACTCGAACCTGAGGGGGTCGGCTCAACTAGAGGGCGTCCCTGAGACTCGAACCTCGGCTCTAGTTAGTTGTCGTGGAGGATAGGTACCCGTTTGAAGAAGTCTCTGCTGCCTTAGATAATGATTAATTACTAAAAACTAGTGAATAAACTTCACATTATGTCAGTCAGCAATAATCGTGAAGTCGAAAGTGTTTTTAACCCTATAGTATTCCTCGCCGTCAGGCAAGTGATATTCTTGCCAGCTTCAGAAATACATGCAAGATTTCTCATCAAATTTCACAATGGAACTGAAAGCTCCGTTGCAATTATACTATTCGTTTCAATTTGGGTAGGTACCTACTTCCTCCGAAATACGTTCATATAGTTTAAAATCCTCTGCATTCAACGAGACCTAGACTAGACAATGCCTTGCAATATCGCAATGTTTAAATATGCGACTTACGACCATCTGTTCTCTCAGACAACATGAAACAAGGGAATTGGATTTCTGCTATATATTTGCGTTTTACATTTCTCTTAGCAAACAAACAAAGGAATGCACTGTTGCTGAAATTGAAATCTATTGAAAAATTGTTACACTATATAATCATATTTACTTATATTAAATGTTATTTAAGAAATGAATATAAAATCTTTGTCGTCCTGCCATTGACTTTTGAAACTTCATGGACAAATTTGAGTCTTATTTTGCAATTGTACATATATACCTCTTCAGTACTATATGCATACTTCAATAGACCCAATAAAATTAGTTAATAGTTTCATACGAAGCAGTGCCTATTTCATACCTGACGGATTTATCACTCGAATTTTAACGCCGGACTCGCTAAAAGGGATGATAACTTTTTTTTACGTCAATGAGGTAGATTACCGAAAAGTTGTGTACACGTATTTTTCTTTATTTACATAATCAAAATATTACGGAGATATACTATTGATTTGAAATGTTGCGTGACGTCTTTGCACAATTTTTACTAATATTTTTTTGTTTAATGGACAAAATAAAACAATGATTAAGTATCTATTATGCTTAATCTAACTGATGGACTAAATAGTATTTCGTTTTCTGTACCGCGTCATCGTCCCTAACCTAACCTAACCTAACATCAAGGTGGTATCATGTAAGACGTAAATGGAGTTACAGGCTTAGATTAAAACAAAAATAGATACGGTATGCTCATACTTGCGTCAAACAAAAACTGATCCCACGGCAGCGCGAACGGGACGGCGAGATCCGCGTCACTGCATTACCGACCCGAACGAAACAGCACGTTAAGTTTCAACGGCAACGCGAACGAGACTGCGAGATCCGCGTCACTGCACTACCGACCAATCACGCGACCAGAACTCGACGTCACTACCGAATAAGATTCAAAACAAACAGCATTTTTTATGAATAAATATATTTTATAGTACTTACGAATGAAAAGTGATTTTATTTTTAGTTCTTGAGCAATTTGAGCACTTTTTAACAACACACTTAGGGATTGTTTTATCATATAAACACAAAATATTAACAATATTTCGTTTGCATGTTAAGTTGTGACTAAAGCGATTAGGGTCGTGGACCACAATTCATGCGGATCACTTTTGTGAGTATCTCTTTAGTTGTTATCTACCCTTTTTGTTTTAATCTTAGGTTACAGGAGTGTTAGCAGCGCTGCATTATTATACAACCTCGTAACCCGAGACTTTATCTACCCCCTTATTAATAAACGAAGAATAAGCTTGGATAAGTTACTCTATGTTTTGTCTCTGTTCATCGAATGACAAATGGCATTTCATTGATATGAACAAAAGACGGAGTCACTTGTCTAAGCTTATTCTCGTTTATTAATAATGAGGCTAACGTTAACTTATAAGAAATTGGCGTACGCACGGCGTAAACGCGCGACCTAAATACGTTGGCACTGCTTTGTAGATAATCTTTGTACTTACATGCATTCATAATTATGAAGCGCTATAAACAATTCTACTCGCGCCTCGGATGAATGACGGAATTATAACTTGAGGATTTCAGGTTGGATTTAAGGCAGGGCCAGGGACCACCACAAAAATGGTTAAAAATAAAACAAATTTCGAACGGGTTACCAACCAGGGGATGGAGCAAATAGTAAGTGGACCGGGCCAGATTTAGGGCCCTTCACTCCTTTGTGGCCCTAGAGCCTCCACACCTTTAAATCCGGCCCTGATAATACTGCTCCAGTTAACTCTATTTCCATTCACACACAACATCTGATAAAATAGAATCGTTACTTTAAAAGGGCTTGAAAATATGTTTCATTTAAAGAAAATTTTACTAGAAAAAAATCTACATGGACCAGGCAGCACACGGGACTCGAACCCGCTCGAGTCGTTCGAGTCCCGTATGCTGCCTGGTTCATGTAGATATTTTTCTAGTAAAATTTTCTTTAGATTTAAAATTCTAGTAATTACATGCTTAAAAAATGTCAAACATAATTATGCTATTTCTACTTTCAAATGTTTAATACTTGTAAAGGCATTAATTTGTCATTGTGGGCAGCCTACAATGCGAAGAGATGGCGCTGCCTTGTAGCTTAAGAATATCTAGAGAAAATTCGACACGTCTGTCAGGGTCGCGGTAGCATTATAGGCTAGTTGACCCTTTTTGGAAAAAGGTTTTAAATGGTTAATAAATGTTCTATTAGATCGAAAAAAAATGTATTGTATTTTTTTGAGACCTAGAAAGCTACAAATCTTTAATTTTAAATTAGACTTTTCATGGACGTACAAAAACGCTGTCGGTCATTTTAGTCTATAGATTATCTATGCTATGACGTCAACCGGTAGTGAACAAAAACTCGTAAACACGTAGAAAATGACCTATCTGAGTTTATAATAAAAAAAAACATGATAAATACCACGAAAAATATAGTAATTATCATTATTGTATTGTACGAGAATTTAAAAACACAGCCTTGAAGACTCCAGGAAAGTTGTCAATTAAAGTGCCGAAATAAATTAACCTACGCAATACCTAGTTAGAACTTGCTAAAAGGGATCCCGCAACTTTATCCACTCATAGTAAAATTAATGCAAGTACTCATTGAATAATATTTGAAGTCTCTTCATTTATTATCAATTTTAATAATACAAGTTTTAAGGTTATGTATGAATGACATTTAGTTGTTTACTACCAAAGAGACGTCACAATCATGGCGTATGTAGCGAGCAGCGTTTTTAGTGTTTAAAAAGTATAGACTAAAAATTATTTTTTAAAATTTTTCTACAACAATCTTCTGCTTTTATGAAGTGAAATCGATATCTATCGATTTAGGTTCCTTAGACCAAATACTTTAAGAAATAAACATTTATTTAATACAATTCGACATGAGTCAACTAGCCTATGGTCAGTGCAATCGCTCGGACAGCGAAGGGTACGGGTTCGATCCCCTAGTCTGCTGCCTAGTCCATGTGTTTTTTTTTCAGTAAAATTTTCTTTAGATTTAAACATGTAGCAATTACATGCTTCAAAAATATCTAAATAGCTTTCTTTAATTTGTTAAATCAGATGGATAACAGCCATTTGACGACAATCAGCGAGCTGACTCCACACACGGTATACACGATACGTGTGCAAGCTTACACCTCCGTCGGTCCGGGACCGATCTCCGCACCTGTACAAGTCAAAACACAACAAGGTAAGACTACAGAATATCCTACACATTTTTAAAATACTCTGCCTAGCCCCAATGAACACTGTAAGGGCACAATACATACAAGAGCAGTACCTTGACTTCATACTAGCGCCCGAATCGACGCACGCACACAGACAAACGTCATTTACACGGCCGCTAACCAATCTTGGCAAGACAAATCTACGCAGTGCCCCGTCACGCGCCGCCGAGACTGGCGTCTGTCGAGCTAAGTTAGCTGCGTCGCGTCGTCTGCCTCCGTTTCGATTCCGTAACGTAATCATTAAATTAACATATGATCTATTCCTTAACCTCAAACTATACACATACAATAAAAATCTGTTTTACATTTTGTAGGTACACTCGCGGAAAGACCCGCTCTGCCACCCATCATGCCATAATCGCTTGCGGTAGCGGCGTAGTAAAAATTCATTCATAGACATGTAATTATCGCTGTCTTACTTTTTCGTATAGCGCTGTCGCGATCACGATGCGGATGACAAATTGCAACTAAAACAAATGCAATTCAATTCATTATTCAATCAATGAAATGCTCTCTGTCTTACTTTTGTGCGGCGGCCTGGATTGCCTCGTCCGACGAGAAGGCGGGGCGTAGTAAAAACTACTGTAGAAAACCGTTCAAAGCATTTTGTTCGCCAATTGACAGAGCGCAAAATTCCGCAAAAGTACCAGCACTCCCCTCAGTCGTAAGTTTCTATTTCCAGAAAACGGCTGAGTTACGCTACTGCTCTTGTATGTAGTGGTAAGGGCGTTTATCCAAAGCGGCCGTCACCGGGACGTCAACGAGAACGAGAAGATGCTGCCGAAGTAGCGACTCATACATTTACTATTATACTATAGCCGCTAGTCCACAACAAGTCCGTCACGTCATTTTGATCTCATACAGAAATAATCTAGTTCTCTATGACAGTCCGATGCCGACTGCAGTGGACAAACAGCCTAAAACTTGCGTTATTGGATACTTGGGTCACGTACAAAATACGTTTGAGGTTGATGACCTCCGTGGTCGAGTGGTTTGTACGCCGGGTTTCATGGTGTCGCCGAGTCGAGAGGTCCCGGGTTCGAGTCCCGGTGGAGGCAGATGTTTGTGTGATGAATACGAGCATTTGTACTCCAGGATGTTTAATATGTATTTCTATATAAATATACTTATATGTGTACTGTATATTATGTATTTTATCCTTTACCCTAGCATCCCATACCACAAGCCTTAGAGTGCTTACTTTGGGGCTAGGCTAATTGGTGTAAGTGTCGGAAATATTTATTATTTATAAGTAATACATTAGATAAATATATTTTAATAGAAATATAATATATTAAAACCTCTGTGTAGGTGACACCTCAGAAACCGACATAATTATAATTCTACATGGATTTTGGAGTTTTGTCTCTGGCAAACTATTCACTTTCACCACTATAAAAAGTATCTTCTTCTAGTTGTTTGAGGGCATGCACTTCCTGTTTGCAATATTTTTAGTAACATCCAAAGCTTTCTTTCACTTTTATATTTTTTGTAGGGTAGACGCTTTTTTGGGCGAGGTATGTTACTTCTAAATAACAATTTTTATTGAAAACTGTCGTATATGAGTTCATAATATGATTACTTTTTGAAAGAAAGTATGACAAAAGAAATTTTACGCTGGAATCTCTCTATTGCATCATCCTCCAGACTGAACTAAGAAACTTCCATAAACTTGATCGGACCTCGACTAAGATACAAAATAAAACTTGTTCAAGAACGACCTTACGACCACTTGTTCCCTCACACAACAACGAACAAGGCTATCGATTTAACTGTCCTACGTGTGTAGCAAATTATGTATACATTTTGTCAATTAATTTGCACTTAATTTCCCGAGTGCCTTACTTCAAGGGCACACTAAACGTCTTCAGTGGTGATAAACTTTTTTTTATTTTTGTAATTTTTGAGGGCTTCCAGTTTCTTTGAAACACGAGTTATCAAAATAAAATTTTATTTTATGTATGAAAATTTCTTTCGTAAAAAACATTGCCCGCCTCCCCTCTTAACTATTGCACGATCAACAGGCGTTCCGTCTCAGCCGTCGAACCTCGTTGCGGTGGAGGCGGGAGAAACTTCGGTGACGCTGACGTGGCGAAGACCCGCGCACGCCGGAGACAACATAGTCTCCTACGAGTTGTACTGGAACGACACATACGCCAAGGAGAACCACAGGAAGTAAGCAATAGCCGATAGTTGATAAAATGATTCTCATATAAAAATCTTGAGTGCGTGGCAAAAAAAACAATTGCCGAACGTTTTATAGGTAGGGTTGATATTTGTATTTTTCGGCAGTGGATTCAGTCTTTTTTTAAAGATTATTTAAATATGACCCATTATTTTAGTGCTTGTTGTCACGAATATAGAATATATATAGTAGATGACGAATATAATTCAGAAAAAAAGTCCCATCAATAACATGTTCATGCAAAATGTTGCCAAGACTCTGTGACTCTTGGACTCAATGACTCACACTGTACTCTACTCGACCTGACTTCACAAACTCTACACCTTAGTCAAAATATGTGGCTTGGACGATGTGAGTTTTTGCTTATTATAAATCAAAAACTATATTATAAAGCAAAAACTCACATCGTCTCCCTCTTGGCCCTTTCACAAGGGCTACTCTGATACATATATTTTGAAGTACCTAATTTACTAGATGACCCAATAAAATCATCCGTATATTTCAAACCAGGCGGATACCATTAACGGAGACTTACACGCTCAACGGGCTGTACCCAAACATTTTATACCACATTTATGCGCTTACGCATTTCAGTGTGACTGCTTACACTTAAACGACATTCTACTTTACAAAGCAAAAACTCAATTGCTTCGTCTCGGTCTGCCCTGTGTATCTGACAAGGGTATTAGTCTGATACCTTTTGAAGTCAATTACTGGATGACCCAATAAAATCGTCCATATTCTAACCTACAACGGATATCAATAACGGAGACTTACACTCAACGGGATGTACTGTAGCCCAACACTATACGACATATGGGTCTGATATGTTCTGGATTCATTTACTACAGCGATCCATTGAAATGAAAATTATTCGTCTTTTAACCCAGACGGATACCAATAACGGAGACTTACACGCTCAACGGGCTGTACCCCAACACTTTATACTACATTTGGCTGGCGGCGCGCTCGCAGCGAGGGGAGGGGGCTACCACTCCGCCTATTGCCGTCCGCACCAAGCAGTATGGTACGTGGACCATTCACCATGCAGCCCAGCGCTATGGGATTGCAGGGGCATCCCGGGATCGCGTTGCTGTGCAGCCACGATATGTTTACTACTACAGCGTCGGAGATAGATGAACGCGTTTCTCAGGCGTCGCCCTAATTGGCAACGATGATTTTAAAGCAAAGATTTCTTCAGAAGTGTTCTAATACAGCTCGTAAGCCGTCGCACGAGCACAGGTATATTATTTTCATCGCACGTTGAAATTACATCATGCCATCGTACGATCGTTGCCAATAAGACAATGCCTTACACTGCTCCGTGTTCTACAATGATACATGGACACAAATTACTAAATATAGTAGGACTTTTAACAGAACTACAATGTGTTTTACGATTAGACTCAAGTATTTTTGCTTCGGTCCTAGAGCAAGACTGTGGCCGAGCTGTCGCTATTCATGCATTTCACAATCTCTCTTTAGAGAACTATGCTTGTATGCGAAAGCAAGGAATTCTTGAAAATACCCTAATGTCTTTCTATGCTGAAACAGTAAACTCTTGTGGCTGTACTGTTAGGGATACCCGGGATGCTGATAAGGATATCCCAGAGGATAACTTTGACCGTCGAGTGAAAGATGTGTGGTAGGAGCTTTGGCATAACGTATCCTCATATCTAACAGGTAAACCTGATAATATCTGATGTAGACCTAGAAGAATTTATTGCTACTTAACCCATTCCTCCTCTGAACTTGAGTGAAGTATAAGCAAATCGTATTAATTCTATCGTGAATTTCCTATGACTCTTGACTGTTAAACTTTTTCCCAAAATTAGATTAAATACCGACGGCTTAGTTAAAGGAGTTCCGATCTAAATACTTAATCTTACAACATTTTTAACGCTCAGACACTCGAGCCGAGCACTCCAAATTAATTTCGGCTTACATCCATCGACTCACTTAATTATTCGCATCAGTGGGGGGGAGTTGCAAAATCGTTTATGGAAATTAATTATTTGGAAAGTTACGCCAAAGCTCCTTGCCGATGATCGCTGCTTGTATATGTGGATGTATGAAACTCTTACCGGTCTCCAGGTAAACTCGCACTGTAATATTTCACATAAGAGCACCTGCCCGGCACGCTGCCAGTAAACCAGCACAAGCACCAAGTTTTATATTATCACAATATGTGTTTGTAATCGTAAATTTGTCGAAACGGTAAAGTGTGCGCAGCGAAATGAAATCCCGAACGTGTGCGTTGTACGTACTAAATGTTAAATAAACCGATATATACGATCCAATATTATGATGATGACACGATAGAGTGCGCACACCGTACCCTAGTAGTAGCTTTATGTTGTTCGTAGGACAGTTTTGATTCCGAGAACGGACGCGTCAAGCGTTCTTCTTAACCAACGCCAACGACACGAAGATATATCAACTATCAACTCATTTCATATACCATTAATCATTGGAGCTTTGGTCATATATCATGGGTCATTACGATAACCCTGGAAACATGTTAATACTTCGTATCGTTCGCTTGATGAACATAATCCCAAATTTTCTTCCAACAGGAGATAGTGTAACGGATGAGACGCATAGAGATGTATGGGCGAGCGGATCCTACATTTACACCGACACCATGTGCATGCGATATTTATTTTCAACGACGGCCACGAGCGGCCGCCTTATTCTTTTATTTCTCTTATGTTCTAAAAGCACAGTTTTTGTTTTATTTTTGTCAATGAGCATTCAGTGATTGCGTCAGTGAGGTCGGTAACCGGACGCGCTGGAGTGTCCATTTAAGTTGCAGGTCGCTGGATCTCGGTCGGATCCGTGCATTTGCTGATTTTTGAGCTTGTTTAGTGCCAGGGGCGCCGCCTATGAACGTGACGGCGACGGCGATATCGCCTACTGCTATCCGAGTGACTTGGCAACCGCCACCTGCGGAGCGGGCGAACGGCCGCATCGCGTATTATAAGCTGCTTTGCGTGGAATCCGGACGGGGCGATTCCGAAGCGACCGTCGTCAAACTGAATCAGACTACGTTTGTGCTGGACGAACTGCGTCGCTGGACGGAGTACAGAATATGGGTGCTCGCCGGCACCAGTGTTGGCGACGGGCCGGCCTCCTACCCCGTCACCGTTCGCACGCACGAAGACGGTACGTGTCACTCAACCGGCATTCATCACATTATGACACCATCTCGATTCACTGCAGAACCATTCGTTAAAGTTAGAAATCGTCCTGAATTGAAGTTATCTACCACACCCTGTTTGGTCGAAATTATTGGAAAGAGCCAATAGTTTTAAGCGGATAGTTAACTTTAAACATAGTTTTGTGGTGAGATTACAAATGAACTTAGTAATGATTTCTCTCAATTCTGTGATCGTTTACTTAGTGTTTTCAGTGAGTCGATTCTCAACCTTAAATCTTTACTGAACACTTTTTGACAGTTAATATTCATCAACGTACCGCACGAATAGTAAGCGAAATTTTAAAGTCCTTTGTAACATCTTTTAAATTGTTCCTCGCTCTCAAAGGTTACATTTTATGAATAATCCGAATTTCACTTTATGAAAAATATCAGTAATTTATAGTTACTGTAGTAAAATAGTGGTTTTTCAAAAGAGATTCTTTAATACATAGTAAAATGATCATAAAATTGAGAATACATATGATTCAACAAATAATTATTATTAAACAAATTAAATACAGCTACATACTCAATAAAGTTTTCATTTAACAAAATCAGAAGATTTCTTTTTATACAGGATCAATTTCGTTTTAATACCAAAATACATATATACATTCACGAATATTTAACTAAATCTTCTGATATTGCATTGTTCATTACAAAAACATATTATGTAAGTACTAATTGAAATTCCATACATTTATTCATTTTTGCATAAAGTCACTTGGATTTGGTAAATACTGGTAAAATTCGATTGAGATCATTCATATTGTCTGACGAGCAAAAATTCACTAGTTCCAATATTAATTTTCCATGATTTCGTTAGTCGCTTCATATATGAATGATTTTATAAAGCATATTATATTATTGAACTTCAGTCAAAATCGAAAGCATTGTTTTTCACATTTGGCTCGTTTCTCGCTGCCTTGCCTCGTCGAATGCAAATCCTTTCAATATTTACATCGACGTATTCGTCATAGCTTCAATATTGACTGAAGTGAATGATGTGCATCTATTACTAACTGATGAAATTGTTGTCATTCTTGTATGTTTACGGTGGTGGGCTCTCAAACTGATTACTCTATAATAACAATTACTATTGTAACCACAATAATAATTTCAACACCCTAAGCGCTAAATACTTCCACGATACTAATGTCATTTTTTTCTTTTGTTCCCTTTTATGAGCATATAGCAGGATTCTAATGAAGGAGGTCAATTCTCGTAACAAAGTAATATTCTTTGCTTGCCGATAAATTTCCATGTATATTTATCATTATCACTGATGGTCATTATTTTGTTCACTGTATATTTTTGTCGCTTGCAACTGGCGACGTTTAATTTACATTTCCACTCACTGTCACATGTAATGATTTCTTTCGATGATCGTCATCGATCGAATCGCTAAGATGGCACTCACTGAAATGCAAAGTTTATAATTATGCACCTGGTATAGTGTCGACGGCACCTGTTGTTTATTAATTTTGGCGCACAGTTGTTGAGTATTTAGCAATCGACACAATTTTGCATGCTTTCTTTACCAACACAGCACCGTTTTTCGTTCAGTTTATTTCACTGGGCACCAGTTAGGTTCACGTCTCGTGGCGCGCGATCAACAGCCGTTTTGGCTTTTTTTTCTGACAGCTGTTGATCAGCGTGAAGCGACGACAGCACTTTTAGGAAGCACTCAGCACTTCTAGCGACAACACGAGGTGAGAGAGCGAGTGCGTGACACAACAGCTATAACCGTCTGGGCTACTCACACACGGGCCGCGCTCTCCCGCGAAACCGTTCTCCGTTGAATGACACCGATCGTACTCGACAGCGCACGCGTTGAGCTCGTTCACTCGGTTATACAGCTCAGTTCCCACACGCACCACGGCCCGAGCGCCGCATTTGAATACCAATGCCGTCTCCACACGACACGCGCGCATGCTATACTATACTACTCACAACTACTTCTCTACTCACTGTACTGTCTCACTACTATCTACTTATTAGCGGGAAGGCTGTCGAAGTCCCGAGGATCCATCTAAATTATTAACTTACCCAATTGGTCCACTCGAGGATCCGACGGATAAGGTCCAGACGCACTTCGCCTGTGTACCCCGTCTGCTCGGCTCGGATAGAATACGCGCTACCTCTATCTTTATCTCTATCTCTCTATCTTACTTGCTCTATGCTACAACTTCTTGCCAGTAGCCATTTCACTTCTCGCCTTTCTTCTTTCTTCTGTACTCTATCCAACTTTCGTCGTGCATGCACACTAGATATTGTGACATAAACAGAATACTGGTATGGCTAACGTTCGCTATCGGCGTTAACAAAGAACGGGCAGGACTCGAAAGAACGCTGCGAGATAATCTGGCACCGATCAATCCTGTTAAGTACATCGCCGGTTTAATATCCAACAATTCTGTAGAAGACTACTGCGAAGGGCAATGACACTCTGACACAGTCACAAACATCACTGAAGACAACACAGGTACGAGGTATCTATCACACACATAATGGATCCAAGTTCGGCGCACATTGACAAGAGTACGTACACAACGAAGCACACCACACAGACTGGCGCCGTCGCGTTAATCAATACATGTGCGTGTGAGTGACTTCTCTGCACCGAGGGATAAAGATTTCGTTCGCGCTATTCCTTTTTCTGTTCACGCATTACACTATATCTGCCTTACCAACAACATGACCAACTTAACTAGTATAAGTCGGAAACATTTAATACCACAGAGAAATAAGCGTCGCTTTTACCCGTGCACTCGGTGAACAGAGAAAGGCAATGCAAGCGAATGCAGACTGACGCCGGCGTCCCAAGCGGCTTAACCCAAATGCGCCTCCAAAAGAGCTCAAAATACACGAGGAAGTAAAATAAGAGTACCCCCATTTTGCCGACAAGCGTTCTACTCGTAATCTCTCACTTAGTAGTTCCGTTCGCCCTGCAATGTTCGCACAATTTGTCTTAAATGTATTTGAATGCGTTTTTCTCTTTTTTCTCTCGTCACTGACTTTGTATGGGCCGCTGGTAATCCCCACAGCCATAAGGAGTGAGTATAAATTACTATAGTGCTTGCTATTTGTGCATTTGTGCTTGTGCCTAAGCTTTACGTAGTTAATTCTTCCTAGTGTTAACCAGATATCTTCTTAAACAAACTGCAAGTGGTACCTATTGAACAGGCATGTCTTTTAGACAGTACCTACATAAGACTTGGTGTGTCCTTTCCCTGTAACACGTGTGCGATGATGCTCCCAAGTCTTTAACGTTCCACGGCATGATTCCCTTGCAGTGTGTGACTAAACAATAGAATAATGCTGCTTTCTAAATAATTGTAAACAAACTAATAGTATAATATTTACTAAATGTTGATTTTTTTATAAACGCTTGACGATTTAGTTGTTCTTTACGATGTGGATTGGAAGGTAATGGATTTTAATTGGTTATGGTGATGTGAAAGAGCGTAAATGATAATGTCTCAGTGTGTGTTGGTATTCAAATGCCCGATCGAGATGCTGAGAGGCGTGTGCTGACGCTCGCCTGCGACCGAAGTACTCTATCAGCATTACCGATGGCGTTTACCGACCGCACATTATGATTGCAGCGCTTACCGAAATCCTCTGATGCGGATGCTTTGTTCCCATTAATAGGCCCTAAGATACGCTTTAGGTAGTATTTTCTCTAGCACGCTCCTGTAGATGCTGATAGGGCATTAGGTCGTGATGAAATCAGGTCCGGTGTGGAGTCTAATATATTGCCTGTACACTCACAGTGCCCGGCGAACCACAAGATGTGAAGGTCAACCCCATCAACTCGACATCTATTCACGTGACGTGGAAACCGCCACAGGAGAAAGAAAAGAATGGGATCATCAGAGGCTACCATGTTCATGTTCAAGAAGTTCGAGAAGAGGTACAGTTTATTTGGTGTTCTTGTTATGTGTCTCTTAATTAAATAAAATCGATTCTCAAAGTATTATTTAAATACATAGTTTTATTTTTACATAGTTAACAAACAAATAATGTTAAACTAAAGTTATTGTCATTTCAAAGAGATCTTTTTTCCTTAGGGCAAAGGTCTTCTTAACGATCCCATGAGGTTCAATGTAATGGATGACACCACACTCGAGTTGAATGTTTCGGGACTTCAACCTGACACAAGGTACAACGTACAAGTGGCCGCTCTGACGAGAAAAGGAGACGGAGACCGAAGTGCGCCAGTGTCTGTAAAGACCCCTGGCGGTGTGCCAAACCGGCCTACCGTTACCTTAAAGTAAGTAAACATTAGCTATTCAAAATGCGAGCGAACCTCCTGCTACAAATTACTAGAACCCGGCATAAAAGGGTCTGCCAAAAACCATTGAACAAATTTTACTTCAATATACCTACATATTTATCGGAATACAGTTTTAACGTTCACAATTTTGTTGCAGGGTTTTGGAACGTGAGCCAATAGTATCTATCGAATTGGAATGGGCAAGACCGACGCAGACGTATGGTGATTTACTAGGCTATAGATTAAGATATGGTATCAAAGATCAACCTCTTGATGAAGAAAACTTTCCAATTAAAGTCAGTTCACATAGAATAAATGATTTAGAACGGGGTGTACAGTATGAATTTCGTGTAGCTGGCAAAAATCATATTGGTATTGGTCAAGAAACAATTAAGTATTGGCTTACTCCAGAAGGAGCTCCCAAAGGACCTCCAACAAATGTCACTTATCATTTCCAAACCCCAGATGTAATAAGTGTTAGGTGGGAACCACCAATAAGGGCTGATCGAAGTGGCCAAATTAAAAAATATGACGTCCAATTTTTTAAAAGAGGTGATCAATCATCACTTGTAGAAAAAACTACAGAAAAGACGAAAGTAGTTTTCACCGGTCTTGAAGAAGATGCCCACTATGTGTTCAAAGTCAGAGCGTACACTGATCAAGGACCTGGACCTTACAGTAAAGACATAACCGCTCATACAGAAAGGGATATTGGTAGAGCTCCTATGTCAGTTAAAGCCGTTGCTACATCCGAATCTGGTGTAGAAGTTTGGTGGGAAACATTTAGAACAAGGAAGAAGATTATTGGCTATGTTATATTTTATACAATGACACCAGTTGAAGATTTAGATGAGTGGCAACAAAAAAGCGTTCACGTAACGCATTCTGCTGATTTAGAAAATTTGGAAAAGTTTGCTGAATATGCTATTGCAGTAGCTGCAAAAACAGCTGATGGACTCGGAAGACTTTCTGAGAAAGTAACAGTTAAAGTTAGACCTGAAGAAGTGCCTTTACACTTGAGGGCTCAAGACGTTTCGACTCATTCTATGACGCTCTCGTGGTCACCCCCGTTACGCTTAAATCCCGTTAGCTATAAGATATCATATAATGCCATCAAAGAATTTGTTGATTCACTCGGTATGACACAAACCCAAGAAATACCTAAAAAAGAAATTATTGTAAAGCACGATAGAACGTCTTATTCAATTAACGATTTATCTCCGTTCACTACTTACAATGTGAATGTCAGTGCCATCCCAAACGATGATTCTTACAGACCGCCAACAAAGATAACAGTGACAACACAAATGGCGGCTCCAAAACCAATGGTTAAGCCAGATTTCTACGGAGTTGTTGAAAATGAAATTCTTGTTATTCTACCTCAAGCTTCCGAAGAATATGGGCCAATTTCACATTATTATCTAGTTGTAGTTCCAGACGACAAAACACACAACCACATGATGCCAGATCAGTTCCTAACAGATGACTTAATAAAAAATAACGCTAGGACCGATGATGAAAACGCTCCTTACATTGCTGCCAAATTCTTACAAAGAAATATTTTATACACATTCCATTTAGGTAACGATGAAACATATGAAGGTTTTCTAAACAGAAAACTAAACCCCAGTAAGAGATACCGTGTTTTTGTGAGGGCTGTTGTTGATACACCTCAGAAACATCTGTACACATCAAGCCCGTTTTCGGAATATCTGTCTTTAGACATGCGAGAGGCACCTCCAGGTGAAGAGCCAAGCCGGCCGGACCCCAACTTAACAAATTTAGATCCAGAAATCACCAAAAAAATACACGACACCAGTGAAGCAGGTATGGTCTGGATCATTGGACCTATAATAGCAGCTTTAATGCTCTCTATGTGCTTAGTTCTCGTTTTTATTTTGAGACGGAAAAGACAACCTTGCAAAACTCCCGACCAAGCGGCTGTAACACGACCATTGATGTCCGCTGACATTGGCTTTGGAGCACCTTCCGATCCCGTCGAAATGAGACGGCTAAACTTTCAAACTCCGGCTATGATTTCCCATCCGCCTATACCTATATCAGAGCTAGGAGAGCATATTGACAGACTAAAAGCTAATGATAATCTAAAATTCTCACAAGAATATGAAAGTATAGAACCTGGACAGCAGTTTACGTGGGATCATTCTAACATGGAAGTTAATAAACCTAAAAATCGTTATGCTAATGTTATTGCTTATGACCACAGTCGTGTCATTCTTCAACCTATCGACGGAATTCTGGGCAGTGATTACATCAATGCCAACTACTGCGATGGATATCGTAAACATAATGCATACGTCGCTACTCAAGGTCCTCTTCAAGAAACGTTTACCGACTTTTGGCGAATGTGCTGGGAGCTGCGAACATCTACGATTGTGATGATGACAAAGTTGGAAGAACGAACGCGTATAAAGTGTGACCAATATTGGCCTACTCGCGGTAGCGAAACTTACGGTATGATGACTGTAACAATAGCAGAAGTGCAGGAACTTGCTACCTACTGCATTCGCACTTTCCAAGTAACCAGAAATGGTACTGCTGAGCGTCGAGAAATAAAACAGTTGCAGTTCACTGCATGGCCTGACCATGGCGTCCCTGATCATCCTGCGCCCTTCTTACAATTCCTACGACGCGTTCGAGCTCTCAATCCTCCAGATGCAGGGCCGTTGGTTGTTCACTGCTCCGCTGGGGTTGGACGCACAGGGTGCTTCATTGTCATTGATTCTATGCTTGAGCGTGCTAGACATGAGCGCACTGTTGACATATATGGCCATGTGACTTGCCTGCGCGCGCAACGCAACTACATGGTGCAAACCGAGGACCAGTACATATTTATCCATGATGCGCTTCTCGAGGCCGTAGTGTGTGGTGATACAGAGGTGCCAGCTCGTAATTTGCAGTCGCACATCCAGAAACTAATGCGTGTAGACCCAATGGAGAATATTACCGGAATGGAATTGGAGTTCAAAAAACTTGCCAACATGAAAGCGGACTCGAGCCGTTTCGTATCTGCCAGCTTGCCTTGTAATAAGCATAAAAACAGACTGGTGCACATCTTGCCATTCGAGTCGACTCGCGTCTGCCTGACGCCGCGGGACGGTTCGGACTATATCAACGCCTCCTTTGTAGACGGCTATAGATACAGGGCGGCATACATCGCCACTCAGGGGCCATTGCCAGATACCACAGATGACTTCTGGCGAATGCTATGGGAACATAATTCCACAATAATTGTGATGTTGACGAAATTAAAGGAAATGGGAAGGGTAAGTGCATCAAACTTGAAAACCCTTTTACAATTTCTTTAAATTTGTAATTTCTGACGTGTAATCGTTTTTAGGAGAAATGTCACCAGTACTGGCCTTCGGATCGTTCAGTGCGTTACCAATGCTTCGTTGTAGATCCCATCGCTGAGTATAATATGCCTCAGTACATCTTGAGGGAATTCAAGGTAATTAATAGGGAAAAACTTTGTTTAATCCTCATTTTATATTTGTTCGATCTCGGAATAAGTGTGTACGTGCTGTGTATCAGGTCACCGATGCTCGTGATGGGGCATCCAGAACGGTTCGCCAGTTCCAGTTTACGGACTGGCCAGAGCAAGGGGTGCCGAAGAACAGTGAGGGTTTCATAGACTTCCTGGGACAAGTGCACAAGACCAAGGAACAATTTGGTCAAGATGGCCCCATAACGGTTCATTGCAGGTAATTTCAGCTCACTTCTGATATTATTTTCATGCTAATATTTAACTTTCAGTACATATATTCAATCATTACTATCATAGCAAGTAGAGATTTTGTAGCTATTTTTATATATGAATTAAGCATATATATAAATATGGCTTACTACCGTCTTCTCTCTTACCATAAATTTATTATCTCGAGCACAGAGGACACTTGGTTCGGAAGGTATGTTTAGCCGTTGCCTTAAGGTCAAAACGAGGTCGTCGATTCGGCATTAAAAAATACATACACATACAATATAGGTAGGAGGGTGAACATTTAGGGAAATTTTCACACTTCTACCACCAACTCCTATTTTTAAGGCGGCACGAAGTTCGCTGGGTCAGCTAGTAGTTTATATATTTAGAAAGACATTGGTGTTGATTCTGGCATGATTCTCTATACCTAAAATTTAATTTGACAACTCGTAGCCTTGTCATTCTCTATACAGAATGAAGAGGAGATATTGATGTTATATTTAGTTTTAAGTTTAGATAATCATGCCAGAATATATACCATTATGAGCTTAAGAGTCTGCACTGCCTTAAGGGTGATTTACACTTCGGCAATACATTAGCGAGTTAACTTACGATCTTGACGAGTTAAGTTTTTATAATTATTTGGACAGGTATTTGCTAGTTAAGTACATATTGCTTAACTGTCCGATTTCTAAACTCGCTATTGTACTTACCGAAGTAATTAACATAATATGCTATAAAATAAGACATAGATAATAAATCAAATAATATAATATTGAGCTTAATCAGCCTTTAAGCGGGAGCATGGAGTGGGCGTCCGCTTGGTGCGTTTGTTTTACGTTATTTCATAGAGCAGCGCTTGCTGAGGCGGGTCTCCCGGCCCACGCGGAGCCTCGCGGGCTACTAGCCACGCTCAATTGACTATCTTCTATGCCCTCGTTTTTTGGCCAAGCTCTTTATCAACTAAAATAATTCAAAATCGGACTGTTCACCCGCGTGTTCGAAATTGTACTGGTGGCGCTGCTAGTGGCACTCGTATCTCGCGGGTCCCGCGACGGAGCACGCAGTAGATCTCCGCAACGGACATCTGCTCCGTGCTCCCGCTTAACGCAACGCAGGCTCTAATTCTGAAACAGTGTCATATAAACCTGTCAATCAAATAATCAATGAATACTTTATTGCGTTCTACAATGTTTTCTTAGATCTCAGTAGGTACATTACTTTGATTATTGTAGACTCTGAACAGGGCACAGCAAATAGAGAATAGAGAAGAGGACGCATTCACTAATTGTAATTTAGTTAATACGTATACAATTTATCAGTTAAAATACTATAATTTATTTACCTAACAAATAAAAATATATTAAAATCAACATTATTCAATCATTTAAGCTCAATATTATATTATTTGATTTAATATCTATGTCTTATTTTATAGCATATTATGTTAAATTTTATTATATACAAATTAAATTAAATAAAATGTCAGGTGTAGTAATAATTGTAATTGTAAATTTTATTACTTTAAATCATTGTCTTCTAAAAATTCCTAATTTGTTTTCCCCATGTTGATGTTAATAACCGTGATATCACAATGTAGCGCTGGCGTGGGCCGCACCGGTGTCTTCATCACGCTGTCCACGGTGCTGGAGAGGATGCAGTACGAGGGGGTGGTGGATGTGTTCCAGACGGTGCGCACGCTGAGGACACAGCGGCCGGCTATGGTGCAGACCGAGGTATGACAGGAAATCTTTTGAAACAACCTCAGTGCCTGTCCACATCGCTACGTCACGACGTCATCAACGTGGAACGGTGCAGTGACATGGTATGTTGTCATAACGTGCAAACCAGGAGGCCAATCGAAGAACAGGTTTGCTATGGCTATCGCTATTGCGTGCGATTTCTTTTTGTTAGTTCTGACCGCCGAAGGTTTTCAAATGCCTTATGCTCTTTTTTTTCTTTTGCATTGGTAATAACAATATTAAAGAAAATGAGCGTGAGGTATTCGAAAACCTTAGGCGGTCAGAAATAACAAATAGAATCGTAAGCCATAGCAATCCCGTTAGGCATTTGGCCCCCTGGTAAATTTGCACGTTATAACTTACCGTGCCGTGTTCCCACACCGTGCCACGTTGACGATCTCGTGACGTGGAGATGTGGACATGCATTCACTTGTTATCATTTTTTTTATAAACTTGTTTTCGTTTTCGCTTACAGAATGTTAGTTTTTTTTTCTCCTCTTATTTTGATTTTCTTTCCCGCTCTTGATGCTGTTTAGAAAGCACCTAAAGGTTTACTTTTACAGCAATATAAATGTAATAAATACTATAAATAATATTATAAAATATTGTTTGTTTTGTAAACTTCTTCAAATGAATAAATGTGTGCTTCAAATAAATGTATATGGGACCTTTCTACGTCTTTATAAAATTTTGTAAAATAATTCATGAAAAGAGGATTCTAATTGATTCTACTATAATGTTTTTCATTAACTTCCTGTTTTATTTATTAAGTTAAATCTTACGCTGTCTACATAAGGTTTATTTTCCTATAGGACCAGTATGAATTCTGTTACCGGGCTGCGCTTGAGTACCTCGGCTCGTTCGACCACTACGCCAACTGACGATGAGACATACTCGTGTAATTTCACACATATATCACATATGTGTGTGCATGTATATGTACTTAATGTCAAACCCCACACGGCCACAGATTAATTAAACAGCGTATCTTGATGTGAATCGACGACACGGTGTTGTGTTAATAAATTTAAAACTTTCTGTTAAGTAGTTTTATTGCCTAGGCAGCTGATTAGGGTAAACTAAGTTTGAGATATAAATGGCCACTAAGTAGGTATCTCGAATGAGCTACTGCTCGGTGCTTATCTCAATTTAAAAATAATACCAAATTTTAATTCATAAACACTAGCAGAAAACAAAAACCAGTAACTTATTAATATTGTAATATTCGCCTTTCTGAAATTTTATTTTGTTTTAAAATAATTTTACCTCCTACTAATGGCACCATCAACATGATTACTTTTGCGTAATTTTCGTAGAATAAAAGAAAAAAAAACACAGCTGGAATTTGTATTAGATTTGTCTGGCCATTTTGATAGTAGTCGTAATAATTGTTCGTTCATTCATATTGAAATTAATGTATAAGTCATTCCAAATTGCTAAGGCAAATCTTATCGAAGATCCCAATCCAGAAGCGAGTTACAGAAAAAAAGAGCTTAATTAAAAGTATAAAAGTATTTTCCAAGTAGATGTTCTCTGCAAATGTTCCTAAAATAAATGGAGGCTGTATCTATATTTTTAATTTATTTCTAACTATATCAAAAATGTTAGTAATTGATCTTACGTACACACACAACACCGTGCTGTTCGATAGATTGATTTGTAAGACCAATGTCAAACTTCCGCAATGCTTGTAGCATAGAACAGATTAGTTAGAACAATAACTCAACAAACTTAATTGATAAGTGTTAAAAACCCTCAACTCGAGTTACTGTTTCTACCATCTTGTACTGTGCTTTTATCGTAGTGTTTGTTGACTGATTGTACTTATATTATGACAAATCTGTCTGATCACATTATGATATTACCACATGAGTAACAAGACGTACAGAGACAAAGCTTCATACAACCGCGCTACGATCGTTTCACTATCACAAGCAAGACACTCGTGTGTGAGTGAGCACTGGCTGCCTGTCATGTACGCAATCATACGTCAGTGCCAGTGCTCAAGTGCAGGGCTCGCGGAAAACACGCGTCGTATTTCGTTTCGATTAACGTTTTGAAATAATAAATAGCGTATAAAAAAAATATAAATATGGTTTAGGTACTGTACGGTGCATATAAAAAATATTAAAACTATGAGAAATTCTTTCTACTAAAATTTTCTTTAGATTTAAACATCTAGAAGTTAATCGCTGAAAAATATAAATATCACAAAGAATCTATAGTTTTTTAGTTATCATATGGACTTTACTAAGTAAATAGCAACTTTGCTATGTAATATTTATGTTATTTATATGTATATACACCTACATAGATAGAGCTTTTACATAATCTTTAACATCGAAAAAAATATTTTGTAAGGTTATGTTATTGATGGTGAATAATTGTCTTTTTTTATTGCGCAGGATAGGTAGGCAAGTATTTACCTACATATCTAGAAAAACGGTACGTTCGCAAAAAAAACCATTATTATTTTACCAACCCATAAAAGTATAAGCTTTTATTTCCATGGTAACTATTTAATAAAACAACGCTACCATATCGTGTTTGTTTACCAAGGGACAAATATCTATAATAACATGCATAACTACTATCAAATTATATTGGAAACATTTTGTTTGTTTAATTTATCCTCCGGTGTAACACTATAAAAAAAAGTAAAAATTTCATCCGTTCTATAGAAGTTTTGTCTTTGTACGTATCTATATTTACTACTCATGTGATATTACTAATAAAGGCTTAACATGATACGAGTGCCTAGGAACGCTACTTATGATGTATATTTACGTATGTGACCACTTATAAAATCATGATTGTGAGTCGGAAGGGTAATAATATTATATAACAGTTAATATTTATCCTTATACCTACTTATGATAGAACTAAACGCTGTTCGTGCTATTTTTGTCTCTAAATTGGAACAGATAAAGTCCATATTAACAGTTGAAAGTATACTTAGATGCATTTAAAAATATTAAAACAGAGTTTCGATATATTATATAAATCGTCAATGTATATATATAAATATAACACATTGATGATAAAATTTGCTGTTTAAATAAAAAAAAAGTAACTTAGAGTATGAAAACAGTGCGCTTAGAGACTTAAATAATATTATAACGCGATGTGTATCCAATTCTGATCGTCACGATTATATAGACAGACATATTATTATGAAATGTATAAATAGTTATTGCAGCTGTAATTAGAAGTTTATTTTTCATATCGGGTGTTAACATATGTTAAGTAGTGTACATTGTGGTAACTTTCATTATTGCAATATTATTAATATTATACTCTTAGACGAATCGGCTGTGTCATGTGAAATTATGTGTCAGTCCTGTGCGTTGTAGGTACGTAAAGTTCTGTAAATAGCATTTGTTTTATTTTTCAACGAATTTTACCGCTTGAATGTTTACGTCGACAAGTGTTGCCAGCTTTCTGACGCTGCATACACAAAGGTTTTCTTGTTGTTGACAATATTATTCAATACATTCAATTTGTTTTGTTCAACGGCGGTTGTCTATTCTTTGAGTATCACTTGCTTGCTTATAGGATGATCGTGATTTAATGACATATCTATTTGTATGTAGAAAAAAAAATGTTTAAGTCTGTGTGGTAAAATTTGAATTTGAAAGAGTAGGTGACGGTATGTTATCATACAGCCTAACTTTTCGCGACGAGTAAATGGATGCAAAATCAAAATTTGAGTAGTAGCATTATGGATTTATGACATTGCAATAGTTACGAGTAATATACGCCCAACGTTTGTATTACGCTTTAATTGGCATAAACTATTATAAAGTTTTGTTAAATCTAAGGCACCCTTGGAGAACACGAAACGTGATTATCACAACTCTATCATTAAGCTATCTTTAAGTGTAGTACGTTATTTAATCTTTTACAGTAATCCCCTTGCCTAGTAAAATATAAGATTTTTAGGTTTTTCACTCGTTTTATACAATATACCTACTACTTGTATCGATCTACCTACGTATAAGTTAAATTTGAGCTTGTATGTAACTTAGGTAATAAAATACGAGGAAGGTGATGCGGTCTCTCGAGAGTTAAACGTAGATTCGCAAACCACTTATATATGAACTCATTTCCTACTTATGTAAAACATACATCTCGATTCGGTCATTTTTAGACCGTTCATAACTGCCAATCGTTTCACTTAGAAATAATTGAGAGTAAATTAAAATAAATAAACAATACGAAAAGTACGTAGAATTAATGAGGATAATTAATTGTTAAATTGAGGTTATAGTGAAAATTTAATACTCGTTGATCATATTTAGCGAGATAATGCATGGGGCATTCATGAAATCGATGGAACGGGTAGCTGAATCTTCGACCAGCTGTATTGAGTCGCTTAATAACAGGCTTTATTGTACACCATTCCTTTTATATTTTTAATAATAATTAACGTTATACGTATTTTGTTTTATAGTAATAATTAATCTTCCAACTTGCCGCTGAAATAATTATCAATATTTTAATATCCTTTACAAACGCACATCGCCGATCTCATTCGTTTTTTAGACTAAGGCATTTTTTTTATTCCGCTTTCAATACATACCTTATGTGCAATCCACAGTAACTTATCTGTGTCCATATTTTATGTTGATGACATATTTTTATAATGCATTTTTTATGCCATGACATTTTTACAATGGTGCTGTACCCATATTCCGAAATAGTACAAAGTTTTGTTAAACATTTCCATCAGTCATACATAACATTTTTGTGTGCGTCTTTTTTGTCTTACTATTCATCCAATTGTTGCGTTTTGTTGAACGTAAAAGACTGAATTACTAATTTGTCTAATTGTGTTTTTATTTACCATAATTTAATTCTTAAAAGTTAGTTAAACAATGACATGCATTTTAATTTGTAATATTTTCGTGTCTTGTAATTACGTAGTTATAATTAGAAGTTACTTAACCTATACTGAGTGAAAAAAATATGAATTTGTGTAGTTTTGTTTTTAATGGTTGTATAAAACTGCTGATATAAATATCTGTCTTTTTATCAGATTAATTATGATTTGTAAATGCATTTGCTTACGGTTGTATGTTAAACGAGTACATAATTATTTTTATATTGATATGTAACCCAGTGAAAAATGCCATTTTGTGTTTTGCTTTTAGCTATTTACGGCCAGACTACACAGATGAGCTGCATTCATAGAAATATTTAAAACCTTATTCACAACAACAAATTATTTATTTATTTCAGTATCTGCGACTCATTTAAATACTTTTTTCACAAGTGTATTTGTCATAAATAATATGACTTATTTGAAAATACAATAAACGCTCGAATTGGGGATTTCATATAAAATACATAGGTAGATACTAACTAACCTACAAAAACGATAATTTTTATAAAAATCGTTTGTCTTGTGAATAAGGTGAATGATCATAAATTAGTTAGAATTTCACATGTGAATGCTCATCGTGTGATCATAGCTTAAGAAGTGTTTGGGTTACCAAACCTTAGCTAATGTAATTATTTTAGTGCAATTAAATATGGCGAACGCAATGCGCATTTGGCGGGAAAGTGTGAATGTAATATTCGTAGGAGTTCGTAGACGATTATTTTGTAAAATATCCCGCGCTGCGTCTCGGGACACAGTGGATTCGCAAAATTATACATATGTATATGAAGAAATAAATTTATGTGAGACCATATTTTATTGTTTTATTTGTATAACTGTAATTTCGTGCATTAACCCGTAAAAACTAGTTTTATTTAATGAGTGATGTGCGTGAAAACCTAAGAAACAAATATGTAATTACTTCTTTAAGATTAGTACACCTACGTTATTTCTCAATTACAGTTGGTTGTTAGCCCGTATTCGGGTGCACGAAAGACATTACTCGAGTTCGGGCACCCGAACCAATATTTACACTGGAATACTGGCTGGAAGACAGTGTCGGATAACCAAAACAAAAACTACCCGAATACGGGCTTACTTGACTCCTTTCATTTACACAAATATTCGGGCTAACAACCAAGTGTAATCGCGCCATTAGAGTTTGAGTGTGAGTTTGAGTCCTGAGTTTTTTGAAGCGTGCAATGTTGCACGCTTATAAGCGTATTTGCCGATACGACCGTATACGAGCAGGAAAAAACGCTAGTCTGAAACCGCACTTTTATTTAAAGTTAAGTTCTGTATTATTTATATTTCGGGTATAGGAAGGCTTTTTTGAGAAATTATCAATATCATAAGCGTACTTTGTTGTGAACTTTTCTTTTAACCATAGACAAGCGAGCGGCAGTCAGTTATTTATGGCGGGATTACGGCGCGGCATCGGGCGGCCAATATGGCGGCCACTCGGGGCTAAGCCGATGATTTAAACATACAGCCTATCGATTCAGTAAAACGCAAAATGTAATTAATCATATTTTAGCTGCTTTTAGAAAACGTTCTTTAGCGCCCGCCGAGTCCGTCGAGTAAAAAGGGCCGCGTGTTTATAGGGTAAGCTTTTATTTTCGAATAAAAGCTTGAAACAACATTAATGGGCGACGGTGGGTATAAACGGCTATTTATGTTTTGATAGTGGAATTATAAAGGACCGTTTCAAGTGGTTGTAAGCTTAAAGTTCTCAGTTCAATGCCTAATTCAAATATAAATGATTTAATTCTAATCTTTATAACAAGCTATAGTTGCCCTGCAGTTTCACCCGCATTAATTTGAGGTAAAAGGTTATTGTGGGTCACCCTTTTAAAGATGCTGTCAGATTTTTCATAGAACTTTTATAGGGGAGCAATAGGTATACGTTTACTGTACCCCGTCATCACCCCTAGGTGATGACGGGGTACAGTAAACGAAATTCTATTTAGTCCGTCAGTTAGATGATCAAAAAATAATGGGCACGTATTTTTTCTTTGGGCAATCAACCAAAAAATGACAAAGTTATAGCGCGTCAAAGTTTGGGAGTAGGGGCTCGTGACGTCACTTTTTAGTGAATATTCGCTTAAAAGTGTACTCAAACGTGATGTCATGCGACTTTTCAAATCAATATATGTATAATATGCAATGTTTATATTATGTGAAAAAAGAAAAAATACGTGTCCAATACTTTTTGATAATCTACCTGATAAACGAAGAAAAAAAATTAGTCATCATCCCTATTTCGTCATATACAATTTTTGTGTAACTTTTACGGTTTACAGCGCACGTAAGGGAAGATCTCAAACGGAATTTTTTTTTAAGCATTTTCATTGGTCCTCCGCTCTGGACGTATCCTTGAGTTATATAGCCTATAACCTTCCTTGATAAAAAGACATTCCAAAATTAGACCATTTATTTCAAAGAGTAGCGCATTTAACCAAATAAACAAACTCTTTAGCTTTATAATATAATATAAATAGGTTAGTAAAAATAGCTTCATATGGCTTAGAGATATAGGGTGATTCAAGCTCAAGCGTCCGATCTCTGGATCATGGCAGGCTCCGCAGCTACAATGGCAGCCAATCTCACGGGACACGTTGCTCCGATATTATAATTAAAGTCCGGCAATACGTATTCATTGCGCCGATTTGCGGAAGACATTATATTTCAGAGTGAATTAAGCGTCTTTGACAAAGCCTCCGATTTCGATTGGTAAGTAACTAATATTGATAAGTTATCATATCATAATGCTTACTAAATATTTTTTAGTATGTTAAAGCGGTCGTAAAAAAATGTGTCGGAAGGCCAAAAGGGAAGATCTTTGTCCGAGCTGGGTGATGGTAGCTCGGGGGCCGCGGCCTGACTGATGTTGGTCGGGCATTGTATATATGGAATGTTAGCCTCCGAATTTATTTTTTCTTTTGCGCAATGTAGGCTTCCATACGTTGTGAACGCAGCGCCGGTAGAGCCACCTCTTGAGGATGGCGAGTGTCTATTTCCTTCATATTGATTATATGTGGGGCATGTAGATGTCGCCGCCATAAGCGTATGGCGCTTCTGATAGTATCGGCCATCATAGCCTCTAGACCAGTGGTTCTTAACCGGTGATTCCTGGAAGAACCCGAAGCGGTCCGCGAAGCCATTCGTAAAAATGGAAAATCGTAAGTTGTGGTCCGTGGCAAGACGAAATTTTGAAAAAGGCCCTCGTTACTAAAAGATTGACAACTACTTCTCTAGTTGCTCGTGATACTAAACATATCACTGGTGCCGTTGCCTACCCAATCTCCTACCCCGAGGAATCCTGGAACCTTAGACACCGAAAGAATAACAACAACACCAAAAGGTAGTGTTATTTTACTGTGATCTTCCGCGAGTTGGAGGTTGCTTCCCCAGACGGGCGCTCCAATTCAATCGGAAAATCTGCTATGCCCTACCTTTCTGATAATTAAATCAAATCAAAACAAACTCTTCACGTTAAATTAAGAGATTTATCGCACAAGCTATCGTGCCAAGCTGTATACAATGTATAGAAGGAGCAAGAAATGGCAGAATTTTGCCCGAATTTGAGCGACCGATTGGTGGTTTTTAATATTAATTTTGTAAAAATCCAGAACTTCCACTGGGTAACGGTTTGGAACGTTAAATAGAGAATCGAATCATTACATAATCTGTTGCTTTTTGTTACTATCGGACAAGCAAAAACCTAATTAATTACAGCACTTTAAGTTCTCACAAATACAAAGCCTTTGTACTATAAATGTAATTCGAATGTGTGCAGTAAGAGGCGTGCCTATTTATTTGGAATGACGCTGAAATTCTTAGTTCAGTAGACTGCGTGTCTTGGTTTCTTCAGCCAATCAGAAAATATGAAAGAAGAAATTTCTTTCTTCTTTTATCTTTATTATCTTTCGATAATACATTTATTTTGACACAAACAACGAGACAGGAGATACAAGATTTTGAGCAGCATTCGAGAAAAATAAAACATTAAGAAACATTATTTTGCTAACCATACTTTTTTGGTAATATTTGCCTTTGGATGAGTAAGAAACGCAATTGGATTGAATCAAGAAAACTTATTGAAATTAGTTTGAATTAAGGATACTAGTTGGGATGAGGAAGGAAATGGAATGAGACGTCATAGAATGAATACGGAACAACCCAGTTGGCAATGTATATATCGAAAATGAAATAAATATACCTAGCTTCAATAGAAAAAAGAACGCGATTGCATGTGAAGATTGCTGGAGGGGCACACTTTTCTGGCATATCTTCAAAAAGGACTCAACTTACAGTTTATACACTCAAAAATCTCAGTTACCATTTAATTAAATCTTAATGTATCAACCTCCTCTAACCTATCTTTACCTATCTACTTAGCTTTTATTGCCCCAGTTTGCGTAATGCAATAAGATGTATCTTAATTAAATGTAACAATAAAAAAACGCTTAATTTTAACGTAGCCATAAAAAGTGCCGTTTTTTGTAGGCCCAAAATGTTAAATTCGGCCCGAATTAATTAGGTAGGTAAGTAGTAAAATTACCACCACGATAAATAATACGCAATGACAACAGCAATAGTCCTCACACCACATTTTATGTTTCGAGTGTGAAAGAAGATATGGTATGTAAATATTATTTAAGAGCCCTTTTACAAAATTGCGCCGCTGCCGTACTGATCGACGCGTAGGTAGATTTGCACTAGTATATATTGCATTTTACGGGTGATGTTTCGAGTCTTATTAAATAATTATTAATTAACTAATTCTAACTGAAATATATACATATTTCAGTAGTTTAATGATGGTAGATTAGTTTTATGAAAGTTTTTGATAGTAATTCTATTTAATTCAGTACCAAAATACGAGGTAAACCTGCATTATTTTTTGGGTAAACTCACGGAGGTTAGATGTTTTTTTTGATAATAAATGAAATAGAAAATCAAAATTCTAATACGGTTCAATTACGGTACAACAAAAACATATTTCTGATGTCGTAGTAATTAATTTGATCTAATTTATTGAACATTATTGAGAGATTGAGGCGTTTGAAGTTGTGCATATTATTGTTTTTTTCCATAAACTAGCTGCGGTAGAACGATCAGTACAAAAAAGAGGAAAATAGTATTTGCAAATATTCTACATTAACTTACAATAAAAAGAACAAATGTACTGTTTACTTCTATTGGAAATAGTCAAAATCTTATCTAAGGGGGTAAACGAGGCGCGATAGTTTGCAAAAAATGTGAAAGGGCTCTTAATTTAGACCATATTTGTTTCTTAAGTTTTTAAGCACATCACTCATTAAATAAAACAAGTTTCAACGGGTTAGATGCACTGATTTTATTTATTTATTGACGTTTCGCATCCGTTGCAGGAATGCGTCGCAGAATAATGATTTGTTTTTTATTTTCTTTACACATAAAAAAAATATTGAGCGTTCGGATATATATCATTGGAAGATTTTTAAAACTTTATTGTCTATCCCTGAATTTATTAGTTAATTAATTAATAAAGTACTTAATTTTAGACCACTTTAAAAAACCTCTATGACGGTTAGAGAGCTAAAGAAAAACATAGTACGCGCCAGCTACAAAACATTCCATACAAATAAGGAAAGCCTATGAAACGGCAACCTGGAACTTTGATTTACTGATATTGTAAGTTTCCTTTAGCTCTATTTCAGTAAGTCATACACCCATGTTAAAAAATAAATAAAACTTTTCAATTTGGTACTTTTAGTCCAAAATAAAATATAATTTTATCCCGATTACAGATGAACCTTTTAATACT